CATTCCTATTTCAGGTTTGGAAAATCTGGAATTTGGATCAGGATTATCTGGTCACTGACACGACACGATTCGTCACAACATGCAAATGACCTTTGCACCTTCGCCCAACTCATATTTACTGCTGAGACTTCGTTTAGCCAAAGCGCGCAGGCAAACAGGCCATTGCCGGCCGTCAAGCCATTAGCGCACCAGAGGGCAATTATCATCCTCGATGAAAGGGGGGAGCTGCTAATTAGCACAGGTATACAGTAGCCTTGCCTAGAGGTTTCACCTTATAAAAACTGCAAGTCCTAGTGTACGAAGCAGCCTTATTTGATGCAGTCTCTGGAGATGGGTTCGAGGTGGAATCCGAGACGTTGGGTAAATAAAGTTCTTGTCTCCCCAGCGGTTGCGTCTACAGCGGCAAACAGAATCCGACGAGAACTTCACTATTTCCTGTGTACTCCAACCCCTCCATTTCTTACCAGACTTTAGATTCTGCTCTAGATAATAATGATGATATACACCGGACTAGGACCATGAGAATGCTAGAACTAGGGAAAAAATTGTATCGTATGCAACTTACCGATTTCTGAAAGCGCAGCGCTCTCCTCAACAATCTGATACATCCGAAACCATACACGGCCGGCAAAGTAGGATATAGACATCACCTTGTCAAGGTACGGCTGCATGCGGGGATGGTGATTGGGTGTGCCAAATGTTTGAACAATCATCTCTTTATAGAGCTGCAAGTGCGGCATTTCGGCGTTCTCGAAGCTGGGATCGAAGGAGAGAATAGGGCGGCTGTACTTGAGTGCATTGCCAGTCATCTTGAGCTCAGCAGTTGTACTCATATTCTCTACCAAAAACTTTGCTGACGGGCCATCCGGAATACAGCTCATCCATAGGTATAGATCGTGTTTCTTCCGACCTTCGAAGAAAATTACCTAGACGAAATGTAAGTAATCACACAAAAATTAGAAGAAACCAGCAAACCATATATGACCAGGCCTCTTTTTCGTTTTGTTCGGAGCATATTATAACCAATGCTGAGTATGCAAAGACAATTAATCTATCGTAAATGACAGCCAGTAGACAAGTTCTAAAAAGCAGTTCAGAAGAAGATAAGATCGCTGAAACAACAAGTGTACTGTTCTGATATTTAGATGCTCAAGGAACCCAACGACATAGACAGTCGCTGATTAGGGTTCTGGAGGGAACTGCTGCACTCTTTTCGCTCCCACTAACATTATCTAAGACTGTATCTGATTATGCTTTCGATTGAGAATCTTAAACTTCGAACTAGCAAACTTTTTCAGTGATCGCAGTTTCTTCCTATCAATGTCCTCTAGGGCAATAACTTCGTGAAAGTACACAACGAGAAGATGTGTGACATATGGACAGAGACACGGGGATTAAAAATCCATCCAATCGACACTAATACTGCAACAGTTATTAACTTAGCGATGTAATTAGAAGTGGTAGCGACGTAACCGACAACTATTATTCTTCTCACCGTGCATGAACCGTCCTCGAAGCTACACGGGACAGAATGGACGCATGCTTTGTTCGTGCATAAATGAACATAACCTAACTGTAAGACGGGATGACGCATTACCACAAACGGCTGCCCACACGAACGAGGCGGGTCACTATGTTAACTTGGCAATCGTGAGGATAATCGCCTACGCCGGCAGCAAGACAGACCGAGATTTTATTGAAGCCTGGGGTTTAGATGAGAACTCAGTCAATCGATTTATCGATCTGGCGCCGGCATGCATAGCCCTGCGCAGGCATCCCCAGACTGACGTCACTCGAGGTTTATTGGCTTTTGCTCTTATAACTATTGCTTGTTTTTTCGTTGAACCTTTACCTCTGGTGATGGACTCCAATAAAAGTTTAAAAGTCTGGACGAATAAAACAATAAATCCGGTGATCGGTGTACC